TGTGTAAAACACTACTTGGCAATAAAGCTCCTTCTGATTGTGATTCTAATCCACAGGCCACAGCAAAAAAAACATGAAATAATTATTTGATTTATTACAGTGATGTCGATGGATGTATGTCTGGACTTTGAACAGGGTCTGGCGTGCCACGTACCTGTTTGAAGGTGAGTTGGATGGCCTCGTACTTGCGCAGCTCCAGGACATTCATGAGCTCCATGATGGATTTGTAGCCACGGTCCAACTCATCCTGACGCTTGATTAGCTTTTCCTTCTGCTCAGAGAAGTTGACAAACTGGTCCAGAGCTTTCTTGTTGACATGACTGTACTTCTTCAGCTCTGTGTTGCACTGCTCCAGTTTTCGGAACAACTGTTGGAGAGGGGGGGGGGGGGGGGGGGGGGGGGGGGGAAGAGGAGAGATGAAGTCGCCATTAGTTCTGTGTGAAGTCAGCTGTCATTATCTTTAAAGAGGTGGTATTATGCTCACTTTCAGGTTCAACATCTTAATTAGGGGTTGTACCAGAACAGGTTTACATGGTTTAATTTTCACAAAACACCATATTTTTCCTTATACTTCACATTGCTGCAGCTCCTCTTTTCACCTATGTGTTGTACGCTCCACTCTTGAGCTACAGAGTGATGCATCTTACTTGTACAAAATCTTTGTTGGGAGTTGCACATGCGCAGTTCCCAGGTAAGGACTACTAGCCAATCAGAAGCAGAGAAGGGCGGGGCGTAACAAACAAGGTAGTGTGATCCAAATCAAAGCCGCTTCAGACTGAGACCGTAACCTAGCAGATGGTATAAGTTACTCACAAGTCCACAACCACACAACATTATTGTTCCACATCTTACCATCAGGACTAAATGTTGAACTGTTGCTGGTGTTCTGACGATCTATGCTGCCTTGCCGAAAAATGCTACCATAGCGCAAATTGATACTCGACTCTACTTGGTCCTGCTCCGTTTTCCATTGCAGATAATACCCAGAGATAGTACGTAGCTTGTCGTCAAAGCGACGCCACATATACAATTGCCGCGACGTAATGTTCAATACGACACACACACCAGCGATCCACACAGCTTTCTCTTTTTTAAGTTAAAACGTTTCAACATTCCTCAGAATGTAAAGACAGATAAGCGGTATGAAAACCTTCCAGCTGCGTTTTCTTCTGCTGTTGTTGCTGCAGCGGTCTGTGTGTGTGACGGCGGGAGCAGAGGGCTCTGTGAGCGGGCGGCTGGCCGGCCATCACATGCTCCTCCCGCGGCTTGGCACAGGCTTCCCCCGCCGCCACTAGGAGCTCCTCAACTCCGAAAATATTCAAGCAAATTTTTGTTCCACCATCACTTCTCGTAAAACTGTCAATATTTGAAATCTACACAGCTACTTTCTCACCTCAGAACTTCTCAGAAGTGGATTTAGAGATGAAATTACATATGGAAACTGTAAAATATAAAACTTTATGTTGCTGGCCTCTGTCTGGTGCACATGCAATGATGATGCAGTGAATAGTGTATATTCTCTCTGACCAATCAGCAGTCTGTCCTGTTTTCTTGTTACATTTTAGTATCCCTCAGTTGGCTTGGAACCTGGAGGGAGGTGAGGTGATACAAAAAAGTACCTGGAAGCAGGTACAACATTTCTACAATGGAAAACCAAACAAAGGCGAGTGGAGCCAAAGGGCCTCCGTTCAGACTAGCTTGGTTTGAGGGCATGCCTGACCCCGCTAGCTGTTTGGCAAGCTTTATGACGCGTTTTCATTGTGAGGTCACAAGTAAAGGGAGTGAAGGGCTGGACTACAAACGAGCTGTTTTCAAGCGGTTCAGAGCAGAGCTTTCTGTGGGAGATGGGAACTCCCTTTGGGCTGGACTTTGGGCTTTTTCACTTTGCAAACCTGTTACATGCACAAAAAAAAGAGATAACTCAATGAAGGAGATGGGGAAAAGCCAAAAAGCATAATACCACCTCTTATCAGAACACGCTTGTTTTCAGAGCCTCGTCTATAATGTGGATTTTAAGTTCTTTAAATTTTATTTATTCCATTCTTATCCATATTAGTCATTTTTAAATGTTGCTCTACATCGTGTGTTCATTTTTATTTATCCTGGTAGAGGAGAGTTTTTAAGATCCACTATAAATTATAACTATGATCATAATCAGTGTTTCCCATACATCGATTTGTTTGTGGCGCCACATTATCAACGCAGACTGCCACATAATGATTTTCATTTTTTTTATATTTAAAATGGGCAAAAATCATATTCGACTGCAGAGCTGCACAAGCTCCTCTTGCAAACACATTGACAATGGTTGCTGCGCAAATCTTGCACGCACACACACACACACACACACACACACACCTCTAAACAAAAACTTCTGAAATCTCTCAATTTTGCATTTTTGCTTTTGTAATAACTGCACTTCCATAAAATTTATCAAATTGGATATGATTATTTTCAGATAATTTTTCCCCTAACATATGCAAAACTCCTGTGTCATCGTCTTGACAGAAAGTTAGCTGCAACCTGTCAGTGTCAGAGTGTACACTGATTCCACTTGTTGACAAACAGGGACATAAATTCGAATGCATTATGCATTTCAGAAAAGGTCTCTAAAAGTGCTTTGCCAGGTTCTATTCATATCTTTAGATGACATGACCTGATTAATTAAGAACCAGCTTAGTCTGGCTCAGCAGTGACATGCACTCTACAAACTCTCAAACTATTAATTCATCCAATCTGAATCACTAATGACCGAGGGAACATGAGCAGGTGTCATTATTACTTGGCCCTTTCATCCACTTCTGCAATCAATGGCACCATTTTGCCACCGAGCAGTGTCCTCGGGAGAAAGATTAACTATGTGGAGTGTTTATGAAAAAGTGTAAGGCTATTTTCAGCAATGTCAAGCAGGGGAGAGGACACACACACACACTGCACATGCTCAGACACTTACAAAAGATGCAACCAAGTCCACTCAGTCGGATTCTTTTTCAGCCAGCTGCCTCTGGGAGACAGACCACTAGATAGTGTCTGAGTCACTGGTGAGTAGGTGGGATATGACGGTCTCAGACCTTAATCCTTTGGAGACCTGTGTGTGTGTGTGTGTGTGTGTGTGTGTGTGCGCGCGTCTCTCTCTCTTTCTCTATATATAAGCACACTCTTAAGTTTGACTCAGGTAGTAAGATAAGCTGCACAGAAGAAATGGCCTTCAGTCGACCTACTTAGTTATTGTTGGTGCTGCTGTTATGTCTTGGGTGTCAGTGACAAGTCAAACAGACGCACAACAACGCCACGTGGATGCTAATGCTGCTCTGTGTCAGCTGGATGTGTAAATGTTTGCCAACACATTCACCAAAACAACTTTATAAAGGTGATGATATATCAATGTTGTGTTTACAGCTTTCTTGTAATCATTCCCCCTGTTCATATTAATCCTGAAGAGATCTGTTCTCTAATCAGTTTTAATGGGAAATTTGTACTAAAAAGAGATCCACTTGATTTGTCTAACGTTACACTGCTGAAGCCTCATTAACTACAGATAAACTACAAACCATCATGTATCGTCATTAAGCTGTGTGTGTGTGTACCTGTTTGAGTGTGAGGGTCTGGTACTTCTCAAAGGCCTCCTGAGGCAGCGAGCCGAGCTCTCTGATCTTCTTCATGCACTCCTCTTTCTTTTTGAGCAGCATGCCCTGCCTGTTGGTCATCTTCTCCAGCTCCTTGGTGTCGTGGTTAATGGCGTCATTCTGCTCCTTCTCAATGTTCTTCCAGCGCTCCATGCTCTTATGTGGTCCTTGATCTCCCCCTCTGTCTTATCAACCAGAGCATCCAGATCTGGGGAAGACATTGGAGGACATGGTAAGGGCGGTGCAGTAGAAATTATGCGTTTCATCCAGATGAGACATTACTGCTTACACATCAAGACCCTGGCTCTGAAAAGGATAAATATTCTGTCACAGGCTGGTTTCTCAGGTTTAAAAGTTAAGCCCTGTGTATGAGTTTCATCTTCATCCCGCAGCCACAATGACTCCATTTAGCTTTACATCCTTCAACAACAACCTACTAATGTGGAGGCTATTTAACCACTCTGTTAAACCACTTTGTAACGGACTTCCCCCATACAGGGGACGTAATCGATGTTCGCTGTTCAAGCCGTTTTCCGTCCAAAAACAGCGGTCCTTTGTGTAAACAGAGACCGTCTGGCAGGCCGCCATCTGGTGAGTTTTGTTTCTGCCGTCAGATTAAAGTAGAGAAGAAGAGTTTGCTATGGCGAAGGCGGTCTTTATTGGCCTCGCTGGTGACCCGTAGGAGCTACACAGACATCAATCGATTCGTCTCTTCAATACGAAGAGAAAGAGCCCACAGTCCTGTAGATGTTCTGTTCTCAAGCTATCGCCTGTAAGCATGGGGAGTGCTTTTGGTCATATATAGACTGTTTTTAATCAATCAAAAAAATCAATGTTTTGGAAGCTTTCTGTTATTTGGAATGTGGTTGTATGG